TCACGCTGCGCGCCACGCGAGCTATCGTCCGACGAAACGAACGATTGTTCGAGAAATCGCTCTCGAGCGTACGAAACGGCAAGGAGGAGCGACGGTGAGTGCGAGCGAGATCGCATCGTTTCTCTCGTACATGCACAAGAAATTGCTGCCTCGAGCGGTTGGCTGATAGCACGACAGGCGCTTAACGGCGCGGTCGAGCGTGGATCGCGTGGGCGCTACAGGCAGTTTCGTCCGCGACGATCGACGACCGAGGACAGCCGTTGGCGACTCTTCGGTGTCACGTGTGTCACCGAGTATTCGACAAAACGTTTCACTTGCAACACATACTAGTGCACCTATCGATTTAATCTGTATCCGTGCGATCGTTGCGGCGAATCGTTCGTTCAACAGAACGGTTTGAATTATCACGCGGCTCATTGCTGTCGCGGGCGAACGCTCGCTACCATCGAGAACGCGCGCGAGGACGTTCGACGTCGTCGGCGTTCCAACGCGTCGGCCGAAACGTCAACTGTCCGCATTACGAAATGTGCGACACGTGCGGATCGTTCTTTAAAAACGAGCGTGATCTGCGCAATCACGTGTTGCGCGAGCACGCGATATATAATATTGATTTGGGCGTCAACAGAACGCAGCAAGAATACATGAAAAATTGCGCATTGATCGCGACGAACGTACGTCGCGAGTGTACGAAAAATAAAGATTCTCACGATTCGCTAACGAGAGTTTCCCTGTCTTCGATACTTCACCCCTCCCACCACATTCTTCTATTTGATACGATCGGTGTTATCAGCGGTCGAAAATGTTCCAGGTTCGACAAGGCACGAAACGCGCGAAACGACCGCCTCGCCAGAAGAGGTCTATAAAACGCAACGTTCGACAGTTCGGTTGTTCAGTCGCACCCAAGGAAGAGACGCGCTCGCTTGATCGTGCTAACGAGAGCCGTCTCGTCTATGGAAACCAGGCTGGTTCACACGACGCATTCGTTTCGCGATCCGACGAGACGATAAAAGATGGACGATGAGTATTCCTACGATGAGTCGGAGTACGACGAATCGTTGGACACGAACGACGTCTATTATTCGTCCGACGAGAACGAGGCTGATCGAGACGACTCGGATGCGTCGAGTGACGACGCGTCATCGGTGAGGTTGAATCTCTCTTTCTCGCTCTCTCTCTCTCTCTTGTTTATCTCCTTTCTTACCTCTTGTCTCAATCGACCGTTTCGTTGCAGTCGCATTCGGAGAACATTCGCTCGTCGACTCCCGACAACGAACGCGGCATCGACGATCGCTCGAGTTCGAATAACGAGAAATGCTGCAACGAGGACAACGACGAGAACCGTTCATCCGACGAACGCGGCATCGACGATCGTTCCTGTTCGAATAACGAGGGGTGCTTGCAACGAGGATGACGACGAGAGCCATTCCTCCGACGAACGCGGCATCGGCGATCATTCGTGTTCGAATAACGAGGGATGCTGCAACCAGGATAACGATGATAATCGTTCCTCCGATGAAAGTGATATCGACAAACGTTCGTGTTCGAATAACGAGGGCTGCTGCAACGAGGACGACGACGATAACCGTTCCTTCAATGAACGCAATATCGACGATCGTTCGTGTTCGAAGAATGGAGAATGCTACGACGATGACGAAGCGACGAAACCGATCGTCGTGCGATTGGATCTGCCGATTGTACTCGCGCGAAAAAGACCCTTGACCGTGCAACTGCCCCGCGAAGGGATGAGCAACGCGATCGACAGCGTGAATATTGTCACGCGCGAGCGCAAACGCCCGTGCGTACGATTGTTCAAGCATCACAGTGGCTAGCTCGTACGTTTGATGTATTGAGAATGAAGAAACGAATCGAAAAGCTTTTTTTGTGCCATTTTTGCAATTATCCTCTCGTACGATGGTTCGTCATCATTGTCATCATTCCCCTGAAATGCATTCGCATCCGCGCGAGGACGTTCAAACGGATGTCGCCGCGTTTAACGTATAGTTACACACGGTGACGAAACCGACAGCCCTTCGATGTCGGGCGAGCGTCGGTTGCGCACTGGGGTGGGCTGCGCTGGACGCTGGTATTTGTACACTTTTCTCCAACCACAGGCACAAAGAGGGCGTTAATTTCACCGTTCAAAGACACCGATGTTGCGATTGGTTGCTTCTACAGCCAATCGCGTTACTTCGAAACACCGAGGATAATCCCGCAACCAGCGTCCAGCGCAGCGCGCCCCAGTGCGCAACCGACACTCGCCCGACGTCGAAGGGTTGTCGGTTTCGTCGCCATGTGTAACTATACGTTACACATGGCGACATCCGTTCGAACGTCCTCGCGCGGATGCGAATGCGTTTTCGCGCGGATGCGAATGCGTTTCAGGGGAACGATGACAATGATGACGAACTATCGTACTTTGGTACGAAAGAAATCTTTATTATTATTATTTATACGTTAAACGCACGATCAATCCGTCGTTACATTTGTACACTCGCACGCGGGAACGATCGTTCGTTCGAGTTATGACGTTCAGACCGTTGAACTCGTTGATCGTATCATCGAGCATTCGCAGTGTTAACAGTGATTTGATCGAAGTGTTCATGGACAACGATTCAGGGCCGCATCTGGGAGCATTCGCAGCATCGACATGGTCGCGTTCGTGTTGTCGATCGGTGATGATTCCGAGTGTCGCGTTCATTGAACTCGATAGATTCTTCGCCGACCTTTGACAATCGCAAAACTGGAGAGGGAACGCAAATGTTAATTGTCGAAAAACGAGCACTGTATTCGCGACGATCGTCCTTGTACTCACCATCGACCGCATCGATCGTTGCTCCGCGACTGTTGCTTCGTCGTCATCGAGAAACTCCGTCGTTGTTGTATCAGCGATCAACATTTCGTCGTCGTTGCGCTCGAGAGGATCCGTCGAATCGTCTCGCAAAGCATCGCTCGTTCGCGTCGATTCGTCGTCGTCGCTCGAATCCGTGGATAGATTGAACGCGTCCGACGCGAACGTTTCCTCGATCGCCTTTGCTCGCTATCGTTGCGGAAAAAAACACGGTCGAGTATGAACATCGATCTCGAGAGGTACGATCGTTCGATGTACTTACCTGCTGGTATATCGAACACTGACAAACGTTCATCGTGTTGAATTAGTTTTTTCCCTCGGTCCGACTTCCAACCTTGTCGAGCGAGTGACTGATTCGAACATTTGAACCGTTCTCGATGTCGCGGTTTTATAACTCTCCTCGTTATCGATGCACCGAATCTATAATGTTATCTTTGAGCGTTACGTGGGATTTGACGGCGATACCGGCGTATCGTCGTATGCGCGGACTCGAAACAACCATTCTTCTCTCTCTCTCTCTCTCTCTCTTTCTCTCTCTCACGAACGAACGAACGAACTAGCACGGTCGCGAAGAGATGCTTTTTCAGCGAATTCCAACAGTATCGACGGAACGAAGAATCGCGATTCGCACGAGAGCGACATCGTACGTAGCGCTCGGTGATGTGGGTTCGATTCAGCGGATCATCTCTTCGCGTTCTATCGCGCGCGATCGCCCGACCGTGTGCGTCGCGTCTTCGAGTCACTAAGGCGCGCGACGCGAAGATGCCGAAGATCGCCGATCGCCGGCCACGTACACGCAGTTCGACGAGAATCAGGCGAACGCCTACGTCGACAATCGCCCTCTTCTGTTTCAATTGTGGGATCTGGCGATCGCGTGTCCGTGAGTAGCGTCGAAGATCGAGGTACGAATTCGTTAGGCCGACCCTCGCGACGATTACTCGTACGAGGAGTCCATGGCCGACGCAGCGATCGTCGTGACTCTGCGATGGATGAACACCGAGTCAATGTGCCGGTTCATGCGATGTCACGACTCGTATCAGCGCGATGGCGAGGGTCACCGATACGCACCCTCTAACGTGCCAAAACTGTTTCCCTTGGACGACTCGTCGTCGGTCACCGCGTGCGAACCCGTCTGTTTTTTTCTGCGCAATCTCCGATCGACGTTCACCGCCGCTTCGTCTTCCGCCACGAACGATCTGCGCGCCGAGCATTACTCGTCGCGAGAGTACAGCGCGATGTCGGTGCGCGACGGACGATATCGACGACGAGCGATTCGACAGGGAAGGAGATCGAAACGGCGCGAGGGGACGACTCGACTCTCACCCGCGGACGTGATGACCCCGGCCGCGGATCTAGCGCTGTTCGTGTACGCTCCCGAGTCGGAAACATGCGAAATCGCCAACCTCGGTCTGATTTTGTACATCATGCAATCGTGGGCTCGCAGCGCGAACGGCAAGAGCGACGAGTGTCGTGTGAGCAATTTCGCCATCGGTGAGGACGTCTTGCGCGGCAAGATCCCGAACGACGTGAACGGTGCGGTCTTTGGCGAGCCCGACGAGAGGTACGCTACCACGGGACGATTGAGCTCGTCATACTGCGCGGCTTTCGCCAAGGAGTTCGACCCGGCGACGCGCACGTGCGTCGTTCCGTGGTGGGAAACTGCTCTGTCCTACACGTTTCTGGGGTCAGCGTTGGTGCGACTGGCTCGCCACGCGTTTCATGGTGGGGATCGGTGCGACGAGACGTTCCCCGCGTTGCCGTCGCGACCGGAGGTCTCCGTGTCCGACGAGGACCCACGGTTGCTCTTGCGTCGCGAGTGGTTCGATGATGTCGATCGCGCATGGGTGTGCCCTCGCCGAACGTTCTGCTGTCTGATCTGAGTGTATCGTCGAAGGATACGATCTGGACGAATCGCGACGGCGGCCGTGTGGAGCGCGCGAAACCCGACGACTACGCGTCCGCCGCGAACCTCGGCGTGAGCGACCAGCGCGTACGGAAGAAACGAGCGGCGAACCTCGACGCGAGCGACGAGCGCGTACGGGGAAGGGTCGGCTCGACCACGTGCTCTCTCGCCGACACGGACACGCGGAGCATCGTGCGCAACCTTCTGCAACGCCGCGACGCGCGACACGGCGACGACGCGGCGTTCTCGGGTTTCGTCGGCGATCGCGACCTTGTCGCGGATGAATCGACGACGTACGATCGCGACGAGGTAGCGACCATTCCGCGGCGCGTCAAACGAGCCACTGAGGCGACCGGGAGCAACGACGTCGACCGGGAGCATCGATCCATTCTGGAATTCGACGCGATGTACGCCGACGTGTCGTTGCGCGGTTCGAGGATGACCAGTCACGACGCAGTGCGTCGCTTCGTCGTGACACTCGCCAAGGAGGTGGGTATGTTGACGACTAGCGTGATGCTCGAGCGGTAGACCGCGCGTCTGATTAAACCGGCGTACAATCGCGCTCTGCGATTCGTGGGTCAACTATTCGGCGGCGTGGCATCGCGCACGCTTCTGTCTCTGGGCGTTCGCGCAGCCACAACGCGCATGTTATCGACCGCGCTGACCAGATTGAGCACGCGGGTCATGTTGTCGCTTAGCACCGCGGCCACCGGTGTCGGCGTCTTCGTCACCGCGATCGAACTGTTGTGGTTCGTGCTGGACATGGCTCTGGTGTTCGGCTGGGACCCGAGTCACTACAACGCCGAGAGGCAGAACTCGACGTTCGACGAGCACGCGCTGGCGTGGTTGCGACTGAGAACGCGCAAGCGAGTGCCGCGTTTGGACCCATACTACGCGCTCTATCTGTACAGCAGCACGTACTCGTCTCGCACGACTGGCACTGTCGTCACGGACGACAGTCACGACGAATCCGCCGTCGCGATCGTCGGTCCGGACTCCCGATTCACGGTACGCTCGCGCGACGACGCGCCGTGGTTCTTCGCTCCGTTCGCCGAGGCGATGCACGCGATGATTCGCGATGCCACCGGAGGCCGAGACCGACGCGGCCAGTATCGATCGATCGACGCGACAGCGCGCTCGTCCCGTTTTCTCCGATTCGCCGGTGGTGCGCAACATGCTCTGGGCGATACACTACTTCTCGCATCGATGCTTCAATTCAAACGGTCAACGCGTTCGCGTCGTAGGCAACGAGAACGACGCCGTTCGAGTGGACGACGATCTGGTGCGCGATTCGATGCGCGACAACGAACAGGCCGCGTTTCTGCTGCAATCGACGGCTCCGTCGTTACCGCGCGAGCGTCTGATCGCCGCGGCAAGACGCAACGTCGCGGCCAAGAGTCTGCGTCCGCTCGACAGCGCGATCGCGCAGATCGGCTCGATCGTTGGCGTGACGCTCATCGGCGCGATGATGCTCGCGTTCGGACCGAGCGCATCGCTCGCCGCGATACTCACGTTGATATTCGCTCCGCTGTTCGTGATAGCGCCACTCTGTCTCTCGTCGACGATTGCCGAGGTGATCGCGGGTGCGCCTGACGGCGCGGCCGATGCGACACCGCGACGCAGTTCCGAGCGCAAGCACGAAACGGCCTATCGCGACGCT